AAAAAAAAAAAACATACTCTTCATTGCTGAGGGCAGAGTCTGGAAAAGTCTGGTGATACCCTGGAGTAACCGGGGCCAGCCCTGTTGCACACTGGCGGGAACATCGTTACCCTTCAGGGTCAGAAGCGAGCTGATAGCTGCAATCGACAACTTCTTGTCGTGCACCCGCCGGAAACTGTCAATGCTAGAGAACCAGGTGCTAAAGAACTTGTTTGTCCAGCCGTGGGATTCGAGAACCTGAAGACTGAGGACGGGGTTGTAGTAGATAGCATTGATGACCATCTCCATGAGATGAATCTTGTAGGACTTGGTCCTTGTCTCACCAGCATCAATGACGCGCATTGCCAGCCCAATAAAGAGAGGAATGTATTGGTCAATGCAGCCTCGGAGGTTCAACATGATAGTCTCTGCCAGTTTGCATCCGCATATCCGGTCGACACCACCAACCTTCTCGTCCCGGAAAATGTCTTCGACCATGCCAACGACAGCTGCAAGGTATGCTGGGTTCTGGACAATCATCTGGGATCCATATGTGACATAGTTATCGAGTGCAGGGAGCATGTCCTCCAAATACAATTCAGCACCAGACTTAAAGGTCTTGTGAATCAATTCGAAAGCCTGCCACATGGTGGGAGAGATCGACTTGGATGCAAAGGTGCAGCTGTCAATGATCTCAAAGATCTCATTGTAGAGATCATAGAGCTTGTTCTCAAGCGTGATGCTAATGACAGGCATGAGAACAGTCTCAAGGTGTAAGAGCACGTCTGGCGTGCTCTCGAGTGTAAGAATGAGGGTTCCGATGGTTTGCAGAACACCAAGAGCGGTAATACTCTTGTCGTCCAAGAAATCACCAAATCCATCGTCGTCACCCTTGGCGGCGTTTCTCTCCAGAAGCTCACCGACGATACGCATGTAAGTATCACGCAGCTGCTCACTCAGCGCCACGGCGAACGGTGTAAGTTCAGCAGAGAAGACCTCAACGAAGTCCTCCATGACGTTGGCAAGAGCATCGACATCAACTTCGTTGGCAAGCTTGAGGAGCTGTTGCATGATTTGTGGGATGTTCTGCTGCATCGAAGTTCTGATAATGTCGTGTCGGATAAGAGGTTGCAAGGCAAGAGACGCCTCAACCCTGACAGGCAAGTCCGGGTCGGTCATGGATTCGAGGATGTTCCTGTAAATGATCATGAGATTGTTGGGGTCCTGGAAGTCGAGCTGTTCGAACTTTTCCAGAGTGTCGCAGGCACGAGCCCTAAGGAAGCCGTGGGGGCTGCGGAACTCGGGGAAGACGTGTCGGACGAAGAAATATTCTACTTGGTCGGCAATAGGGCTCTTCTTGCCCAGGATGACAGAAGACAGGGAGCCGATCATGCGCAGGGCGCCCTCCTTCTCCCTCGGCAGCTTCTGCTCATCGGGAGCAGATTCGTATTTGCTGACCACGCCATTGACGAAGTGGAGGATGGAGAACGTCTGCTTCTTTCGGTTCTTCGTGAGCGCAACCAAGAAGTTCGTGGCTGCGACATCTGGAGCGGACACCTCCTCGTAGTAATTCAGCTTCCGGTGAAGATACTCGGACGGGTCTGTCTGGAAGAGCTCAATGTCTTCATCGGATTGGCACATTATCGGGAAGATAAAGTGGGCGATGAGGTTGTCCATGTGCGCCTTAAGATGGTCCCACATCACCTTAGGCTTGACACATTCTTCCAGATAAATCAGGGTGTAGGAAAGCGCTGGGCTGCTGAGCCATTGACCGTTGACCCACTTGTCGATCTGCTGCAGGTATCCTTTGAGGATCTCTGGGGCGAAGGTGCTAATGAAAGTCTTGGCGAAGGGAGTGTAGTCGGGGGTGCTGGTCTTGCTCATCGTGGATGGGTTTCCGTATCTGATAGAGTAGAACATGCATTAGCACTGTATCTGGCAAAGCAAGCGCGACAAATTCGAAGAAAGTACCTAATGAAAAGACGGTTCAAATTGGCGTAAGACCACTTCTTGCACTTCCACCAATGGTTGAGCTCTCTCTCTTCCTTCTCTTCCATCATTGAATTGGCAGGAGGGTCCTTGGCGACGACTCGCAGAAATAGTGTACACCAGTCAACAGTCGCTTGGTGTGTCTGGAGGGCCGGCGAAAGTTCGAACTAAACAACAACCGTCAGTAAACTGCCCTCTGTACACTTTTCGTTCGATTCCCGCGGGGGTTTGCCGTACATAGATCGCATGTTTATACGATTTAACAACAATGCGAAGCATTTCCGCTGCCTCCAAGCTCTCTTCATCGACGAGTCGCAATCCGATATTCAGCAGCTGAGGGAAGGTGTGCTCAACAATCTTGTCGAATTCTTCCCTCTTGTCTCCACCCTTGAAACGGTACACACGGCAGATGGCCATCAAACACTGCAGGCCTGCGTACACCGAGTTTGCGTCATTGGCACTCAACAGCTGAATCGTAATATCGAGAAACCCGGGCCAGTGCTCGGGAAAGTCATTTTGAAGGATTTTCTGCAGAAGAGGAACGAACTGGGCGCGAACATTCGGGGGCGTCGATGCCAGGGCCGGGATCAACCGTTCTCTAAATCCTGGCTTCTCCTCCTCGCGGATCGGTGTGCGCAGTGGGTTATCTTCGAGGGGTGCCCAACCCCGGTTGATGCGATTCTTCAGGTAAACGCCGGCTGTGATAAAATTATACACCGATTAGACTCATGCCATGAACTCCGTGTTTGTTATCGATAAGGGAAAGAGTAAGGGGCGGAGGGGTCCTCAAAATTTTTGGGTTCCCAGCGGGGTTCGGGGGTAAAAAAAAATTAGAGAGAAAAAAAAAAAAAAAAAAAAAAAAACCTACCCGAAAGTTGAACGGCGTTGACCTGCTCCGCCTGCAAAATATCCAAAAGCGCATTTATAAACCCAGGCTGCGTCTCGGCCTAAAAATTTCCCAAGAAAATTTCGAAATCAGTATGAGCCAGCCTCCCGAGAGCTCCTTCGTACCACCACCACGTACATATTTCAGATCCAATTCAGCCTGACGTCGACTATCGGCATTTGGGTCGAGCGTAGATTGTATGCGGTCTCGGAGGGCGGCGACGTCCATTTCGTACCAATATCAGGCCTCCAGCGCCAGTAATCCAACTCCAGGAAAGGAAAAAATAAAGAAGATAGTAGAAACGGGGAAAGAGCGCGGAGACAAGAAAGAAAAGAAAAGAATAAAAAAAAAGACCCCCGATATGCCGTGGACAGGCGGGCTATGTAGGAGGGACGAGGAGCAGAGAGGGTCGAAAAAGATAAGTTCAGTAGTATAGACGATTAGCCGGTGGTGCAAAAGAGGTACGGAGAAATATGGCACGTGTTGGCTGACTCAGCGGAATAGGGCAGCCTTCCTTTTTGGGTTATCTGTCGATGTCGCAATATCTCGGAAGAACTATTGTTGTTGAATAGTACGAATCGTGTATAATCGGCGATTGTCTAGTATATTTGAATTGTCAAGATTACGTATGTATTGATTTTGTGATCGGGATATGTAACATACCTAGTTGACTTGAACATGATGGTCTGTTAATAGTTTGTTATGACAGTCCCAGTAGTACATGGTCAGCCTGTTTAGGACCGAGTGTTGTTTCAAAATTCAACTAACTTGGATTGGTGTCTTTAGCATTGCGGGTGATTGAACCAGGGAATTGTGTTTTATCAAGGCCCCGATTAATACCTCATGCGGTTGGTTGTTTAACAAGCTATGGAATAGACCATATTCATGAAGCATTGGGCATACATGTAGATGGGAGTGCATGTACTAGGTAGAT